AGCAAAGTATTCTCTTAGCCACCTATTTTATCTTTGCTCAAAGGCAATAAATAACATCTTAATATGAGGATTAAATGAGGTCATACAAGTGTGAAAGAAAGTGTGATTTTAAAAATCTCTTTTCCAATACTTCCACATGAAAGGGCCTCAACAAAGGAAAATTATCCATTTATTTAGGGAAGGATGTTGATGGGCCATCTACTTCTGAGAAACAAAGCCCCATATGCATCTGCATGGGAGCGGTTGAGATAAAGTGGGTAGTAAAGGTAACTGGAGTAATGAAGTATTGGGACTTTTAAATTTTCTCCTTGAGGCCAAAGAATGGGAGTTTGGACCCTGGAACTAGAGGGAAAAGAGCTGGGGGAACAAGCCCAGTTTGCTGTTTTGCAACAGGCGTATTGGATGATAAAGTGAAGATTGCTTTTCCTGAGGCGCTCTGGTTTTTGTTTCCCTTTCCCGTGTCTTGGGGAAGCTTTACACCTTCCTTGGGCTTGTGTTAGCACTGCCTTGGGGAATCAGGGGAAGTCGTGTTGACAGCTCGCTGGGGTAGCCCACAGGACTGTGATAGGGGATCAAGTACTGAGTCTAGATTACGGAGCAGGAGCAAGTGGTGAGAGGAACCTCCAGGAAAACGCAACTTCCTCTTGAGCGCTCCTCAGAAATATTTAGGAGGAAGGGGACTCTCCTAGTTATTAATTTATTTGCACTTCATTGTCTCTGTATTCCTTTGAGCTCTGAAAGCTGGAGGACTTAGGGACAAGTAAAATACACTTTCCACTGAGCACCTTCTGCTGCCACCACCTTAGAACAAGCTGCCAACACTGCTAGCCTGATGACCACATTGCTTCTTAACTAGTTTCTCCGCCTCTGCATTTGTCCCTGCCAATCCATTCTTAACAATTGCCAGAAGAACATATTTTAAGCATAAAATGGATCAGTCACCACCCTTCTCAAATCTCTTCGTTGACTTCCCATTTCACCTTGAATAAAATTCCAGCTCCTTATCCCGACCTATCTGCCCTGCTTCCGTGAGCGACCTCACATGGTACCTACCCCAAAGCCCCCTCACTGACAGTGCTCCAGGACCCTCAAGGTCTGTCCATACCCTTTCCCCTCCTGAAGTCCTCCTCCTCCTGTTCTTTATATGTCTGGCTCATTCCTCCTGTTCTTTACATGTCTCAGGACCAATGCCACCTTCTTGGTGGACCTTCCCTGGCCACTCTAGTTATATAGGTTCCACCCTCTGGCCCTTATTATTAATTGCAACACCCTGGCTGTTTCTTTATCGCGCTTATCTAGTCTTGTGATTATTCATCTTTTTGCTGTCTTATTTAATATCTGTCTCCATGTGGACAAAGGCCTTAATTATTTCACAAACCCCATACATCTAGCACCTGCTTTAGGGCCCGAACCCTAGTAGGCCCTCAAATAAATATTTGAAGGGTTAAATTTTTAATGAGGTATGTTACTTTTTCTTTTGTACTAGGTCTTCAAAATCCGTTTTGTATATTACAGTTACAGAACATCTCAATTTAAACTAGACCCATTTCAAGTGCCGCATGTGGCTAGTGGCGCCTGTACTGGACAGTGTAGATCTGGAGCATATTAGTGCTCAATATATGTTAGTTGTTACATAATAAAAATCATGCAAAGCTTCAGAGGAAGAAAGGCTTATTTTGAGAGCTGTGGGGAAGAGCCATAATCTCTGGCCAAGTCCATGGGATGAGTCTTCATTCACCTGCTAGGATTTGGTACAGCAGCAACACCTCAAGTGTCCTGGATGGAGAAGTAAGGCCATCGGACCGGGGGTGAGGTGGACATCTGTGCAAAAACCCTTGCCTTCCAGATACCCATAGAGAAAGTAGAGTGTGGAGGACATCCAAAGATCACCAGGCTTGTTGCATGAGTGGGAAGAGACAGGCCGGGAAGGCCTCTGCCAGCAGAGTGTCCCAGAATGGAATCAATCTAGACACCATCAGCATTCTTACAGAAACATACTGTTACTGGGGTTTGTTGGTGGCACAGTATGCAATGTGGATTTTTTTCTTTCTTTCTATAAAACTTCCTTCAGC